TATTGCCCCCAACAATCTGGGTCCTCATTTTACCCACCTCAGAAGGATGGAAGGCTGAGTCAACCCTGAGCCGGTGAGATTTGAACCGCTGATCTAGCAGTAGCCTGCAGTGCTGCATTTAACCACTGCGCCACCTCGGCTCTTCAGCAGAGACTCAGATCTGTTTAAGCTCCCATTGGCTGACTTAGTTGCTATGCCTATTCATTGGCTGACCTTGTTACCCATGTCTCTCCCAGTCATGAATATTCTAACCCCTCGACCACAATTGAGCTCAAAATTTATGTTGGTAAATGGGACATCTGTTAAGTGAATTTTGCCCCATTTTACAGCCTTTCTTGCCAGAGTTGTTAAAGTGAATCACTGCCATTGTTAAATTAGTAACACCGTTGTTAAGTGAATCTGGCTTCCCCATTGACTTTACTGGTCAGAAGGTCACAAAAGATGATCACAACTGTCAGAAATATGAGTCATTTGCCAAACATCTGGATTTTGATCACTTGACACTGGCATGCTGCAATGATCATAAGTATGGAAAACAGTCACATCAAACAGTCACTAAATGAACCGTTGTAAGTGAAGGACTACCTATATTGTATTCATATGCATATGCATACAGTTTTAATTTGATGATCAGTTCAGTTTAACTAAGGCTTCTCTAATGATTTTGCTAAGATTCCTCAATCAGATAATGAAAAAGCAATTTTGGTAGATCTTTGAAATATATATTTGTGTTTTTCTTTCTCAGCGCTCATAAATATAATGTAGCTCTTCCAGCGCTTCTGTTTGCTAAGCCGTCAACTCAGCAAAGGAATGCCTTCCAGCTCTCGCAGTATAACACACAAGACATTGTTAAAGTAATCCGTCATGCATTGTTGGAGACATTTGTGAGCATAATTTCTACTTCTGATTTTTTATTTATTTAGAGACAGTCTCTAATAAGACGTTCAGTGCATCTGGGTGTCTTGATTCTAGCAAGAAAATTAACTGTCAGGCCTGGAAGCCATCTTTGCATTGGGCCTTCAGACCTGCCACATTTAATGCTGTGGGAAAATGGGAGGGGGGATTATATGGAGTATGGGAGATACACTATATTACCAAAAGTATTCGCTCACCCATCTAAATAATCAGAATCAGGTGTTCCAATCACTTCCATGGCCACAGGTGTA